ATATCAAAGAATACGCGATCCTGCCATCAAAGTTATCTTGCGGGATTTGCAAAAAACAAATTAAAAAGCGATTCTCTGCCCTGAGGAACAAAACTTTTGAAAATAATGTTTCAAAATTAGACCAGAGTTCCTAATACTTTTAGAAACTCACAAAAATCTTGAAAAAAAAACTCAAGACCTATTCCAGCGCTTAAAGAAGTTGGTAAAAATTTTTAATAGCGACCAAAAACATTCATTAGTACCGTCCCAATGACGCGTTCATCTAGATAAAATTGATAAATAGCAGATTTTTAGCGATGGGCCTAATCTTAGATCCATAGGCCAACATTAGAGCCATTTTCCCTATAACAAAAAAAAAACATCAAAATATGAAAGCTCCAGGTAATGATGGAACTTTGTATATTCTCATCAAAAAACTCTTGTCTTCCTTGGTAAAGCTATTCAACACATGTTTTCATTTGTCATACTTTCCTGATAAATGGAAAAATATAAAAGTTGTTCCCATTTTGAAACCTGATAAAAATCAAGCTGAACCTTCTAGCTACCGTTCAATAAGTTTGCTTTCACCAATAATTTAAACATATATCAATACGAACTCGATTTTTGCAGATGACCAGTTTGAATTTCGCCATGGGCATTCAACTACTCATCAACTCGTAAGAGTTACCAATTTAATTCGTTCAAACAAATCTGAAAGCTGCTAAACTGGAGTTGCTCTACTAGACATAGAAAAAGCATTCGATAGTGTTTGGCATGAAGGTTTGATTGCTAAATTGAAAAAGTTTAATTTTCCACTCTATATTATGAAATTAGTACAAAATTATTTAACTGACCGAACTCTGCAGGTAAATTATCAAAATTCCAGATCTGATCGACTACCTGTTAGAGCAGGAGTTCCTCAGGGATCTATAATGTATAACATTTTCATTTCAGACCTCCCTGATTTGCCTCAGGTTGCCACAAATCTTTGTTCGCTGATGACACAGGCATTTCCGCTAAAGGAAGAAGTCTTCGTGTTATTTGCAGCAGACTGCAGAAAAGTTTAGATATTTTCTCTTCTTATTTACAAAAATGGAAGATTTCTCCCAACGCTTCCAAAACTCAACTTATAATATTTCCACACAAGCCTAGAGCTTCGTTTTTGAAACCTAGTAGTAGTCACATAGTCACTATGAACGGAGTTCCAATTTCCTGGTCAAACCAAGTGAAATATCTTGGATTAATACTTGACCAAAAATTAACTTTTAAAGATCATATTGAGAACATTCAAGCCAAATGTAACAAATATATAAAATGTTTGTATCGTCTTATTAACAGGAAATCCAAACTTTGCCTGATGAATAAACAGCCATGCTTTATGCTGTGCCAATATAGTCTAGTTGTTGCACTACCAGAAAAAAAGCACTTCAAAGGATTCAGAACAAAGTTCTGATTTTAAAGTTGCCTCCCTAGTACAGTACTACCGAGGTACATTGAATTTCGAATGTTGAGACTTTAGAACAAATGTCCAACAAAATAATTAATAATTTCAGGCAAAAATCGTTGCAATTTTCACAAATCGTAGTCCTTGTTACTTTTTATGCCTTGTTGATAGTGACAAGACTCGGCTTTGTCCACCGAGGATGATCTTGAAACAAGGAAAAAATTTGTTAGTTAGTCTTCATCTATGTGATTCCTAATCTTCCATTCGTTGTTCCCTAGTTTGAAGTGGTTAAGACATGGTCATAACCGGTGTCATTCCTTAAGGAATCCAATTTTGACTGACAAAGGGTGTTTCAACACTCCGAAGAGTATAAATAGCGGGACCTTTCAATTAGAGTCGGATACTTGCGATAAATGCAAGATTGACAACTGTAAAACAATCGAATACTTCATCATTTCTCAATAGTGATACGACATGCATTAAACTAAGGACACAGGATATACTACAATAGATCAAATTACTGGTCGCAGTGGAACAGAGGAAGAAAAAAAAAAGGCTGGTACAGTAACTTTACTGTAGGAGCTGGAGCACCTAGCATAAAATGAAATGTAATTTATTTTGAATTTGGAACATATAAAGAGTTAATAAAAAGTCGGAATAATATTCCTGTATTTTGTAGCCGTTGAACTTAAAAAAAAAAAGAAGTTTGATCATTTATATAATTACAAAATCAGTGTATATTTGACCGATTTTTGACCGTTCCACCTTTTAATTAGCTGTTTTTTTTCTGCTGTTTCGCGCGGTATTAGGAAGTCGCCCGGTTGTCGAAATTAACTTAGTTTAGATTTTTTATACTAAAAAATATTTACTGATCCAATCGGAGTACTACGCAGACGTATCCTTTGACTCGTTAATACGTTTATTCTATTTTATCAAGTGCATTTTAAACTTTTCGCGGCTGTCGGGTTTAACGTTCTCTACGGAGCTTATGGGATTCATAATTCAATATTGCCTCGTTAATACGCACTAACGTCACAGCATTGTTTCCAAACCCATCATGAAACAAAACACAAGAACCTTTGATCAAACTGCCAAAATAGGCTAGTGCTTCTGTAATATTTTCGAAAGATAGAAGCAAAATTTACTCACATGGGTCCACTTTTGAAAACTAAGCTGTCACGCAACTCCAGCTTGATACCATAAAAAAAGAAAGAAAATACCTCAACAATCCATCATTGCTTAGTTATGCGAGCTTGGCGACGATTGTTCGTATTTGAGTTACCTCCCCCTTGCTTATGAACGACACATACGATTTACACGCTTAATTCAGATTACCGGGGTCGTTAATAAAATAACCGAGATTATAGCAGCTGAGCGCTCGGCGGTCAACTCGGTAAAAGTTTATCCTACCGAGATCGCATTCCTGTTGATTTTGCATGAGCTGGCAAAATATAACTGGGGTAACACGCACCGTTGGGACAGTATGCACAACCGGTTTATTTCAGTTACCTTGGGGACGTAATTTGTGATTAGCCCGGTCCCTTTCAAATTGTATCATTATGTATGTACGGTCCTTATATTTTAAATGAAGTTTCACATTCATCTAGTGATGGCTGATTTTCATTCGAATAATCGATTAATCGATTAACGAACCGAAAAGTAAAATATTTGTAATCGGTTATATCATGCCGATATAAGCATTAACATCTCCAGAGGATCATCACCAATTGTTTCAAACATGTGATGCACTCTCATTGGTGGAAAAATGGCAGCACAGCTAACAAAAAAATAATCGATTAGTTGTTAATCCAGTAATAAAAAATGGGACATCTCTGATTTTGGTGTGATTGTTTTGATAAAAATGAGCGCAAAATTTCATCTCTACCGAGGGGGCAGCAAAACCACAAAATTACCTTGAATACGGGGGGTATTCATTTGATGAAAGGGACCGTGAAAGAGGGCACTAAAATAGAAAGTTTTTCTTCCGAGAGTTTCATCTTAGTAGTCATCTTTGGTATGCACTTCCTTCATTTGAAGCCTAAAATACATTTTTACAAAAATGTATTGATAATTCCATTGGAATCCTCCATAGAATTCATTTAATATTATCCTGAGAATTAAATTCCTATGGAAATTTTATCGTAATTATATTAAAAATTCTCAGGAATCCTTCTGAGTCTATTCCCTTTAAAAATATGCCCAGAACACCCCTTTAAATTTTGTTTTTATTTCTCTTTGAATTTTCATCAAAATTCTCTTGGAATTAGCATTAAAATTAACTTGCTATCTTCCTCACGATATTCATAACATTTTCATCAGAATCACCTAGCAATTTACTAAGAATTTTTTTCACAACTCCCATGTAATTATTCTTAGAATTACCAAGTAATTCAATTCAGAACTTCCATCCATCCATAAATTTCTTGGAATTCATCTTAAAATTCCTTAAGCCATTGTTTCAAAATTTACTTGGAATCCTGGTCAGAACTCCATAAGGATGTGACCAGAATTTTGTAGGAATTCTTCTCAGTTTTTCTTTTGAATTGACATTTAATTATATACTAGATTATATACTAATATCAACATGAAGCTTTAGTGCGATAATATTTTAGCTAGAGAAAATTCTGAATAGGGATAGATTGACAGTTCCGCTAGGGTACGGCAGTGTGAAAATTGTACAGAAGATGAAATTGGGTTCTTTAATTTTGAAAAATATATCGGTTTTTATATATCATCTGAAAGAGCTTCGTTTTCTGAGCACAGCGATATTTTTTTTCGAACCCACAAACTTTCATCTCGATTTTTAAATCAAGATTTAAAGCAAAATAACAACTTCACTGTTTGACACCAAACTGACAAACTGACAGCTCGCTCCCATACAAAGTGACACCGAGGGGCGCTAATGAGGTGATTTTTGCAAATGTAATCGTTCTTATTTAAAATAGTTCCGGTGTACCAAAATTGATGAAATTTTGGGTTTGGGTTCCATTTTTAATGCAGATTACGAATATGCATTTACCTCAATACCCTTAAAGAACCCAATTGAGCGAAGGGTCATTAATGCGACAATACTTATCAAACCCGCACTCCCCATTGATGGATCAAATCCCCTCGAGACTACTCTCGGAAAAAATATTATAAATTTGAACCAGGAAAACTTGATCAAAACCGGGAATTTAAAAATTAATATTTGATTCAGTTTATTCCATTTTTACGTGAAAAATACTCTTGATAAATAATTGCTGTGAAAAATCTTAATTCTTTGAAAACTGGATATCACCCATTTGATAAAATAAGAAATCAAGTATTCCTAAGGTGAAAATACTGGGCCGCTTTTCTAATTTTCAGAAAACGGTTTAAAATTAATTAAAACAACTTTCTTCAACTGCTATGCTCGTGTCTTTTTTTTTTTTGTGAATTACTTTTATTTGTAAGCGTGTCTTATTAAGCACTCTTCTATATGACTGGCAAAACGATTGAATCTACCCATTACTGGCTGAGATATTGAAAAAAAATTAAAGGAGGGATCAAGTATCCCCACCTCCCCTACTATAATTTATTTATTCTTTTTTTTCAGGTCTCAATGCATGTCCTACAAAATCCTTCATATTTCTTCGCAAAGAGTTGCCTGTCAGGTTGGCAAATATCATGAAGGAGATAACACTTTTACCCGAGGGTTTATTAAGGATGCCTTCGGTGGGTTTGGTCAGTGCATGGTACGTGAAAAGTTTTGAAGAAGTTCTCGAGTTTGAGAAAACAGATCCCACAGGTTACAATCTAGACAAGTAAATACATCCTCTTATGGACCATAGTCTACTACTTCTTGGTTTAGAATATCGGTTATATGTTTCTTTCTATTTCATTCGGTAAAACTCTGAACATCGTAGATTTTGCAAATCTCTCATACAAATCCGTGACAGACATTCGGATGTTGTACAAACTATGGCGCAGGGCATACTGGAGCTGAAGGAATCACGAAATGGTCATATAGAACCTTCTACCGAACTCTCAATGCAATATTTCTTGGACCGACTGTATATGTCGCGTATTAGCATTCGCATGCTAATCAATCAGCATAGTAAGTGCATTATGAAATTCAATTTATTTTATCCTTAGATATATTGTGTGTATCTTTACAGCGATTCTTTTCGGTGAGATACCACAGTCCGGTAGGCATGTAGGTTGTATCGATCCCCTCTGCGATCCGCACATGGTCGTTCGTGATGCCTATGAGAATGCACGCTTTTTGTGTGATCAGTACTATCTTGCAAGTCCTGAGCTGGAAGTGATAGAACACAACGGTGAGTACCTAAAATCTCTGTAAAAACTATCACAAGAAATGTCCGATTGGGAGAATTTACAGTGCTTTAAAATACCAAAACCGTTACCTTTTTTATCTGCCCATGAATACCATGAAATCACGATGTTTGACGCGGCTCCTAACTCGACGCACTCAATAATTTTCCACCAATTTTCCAATGATGTTTTTGAAATGCTCTTGTATGTTTTTTTTTTTGTATTTCCCAATTCATTGTTCCTATTTTTTTTAATATCTCTTCAAAATCAAGATGTGATCAAAAATAAATGAGAGAGCCATCATTTGTCACCGGGGCACCACGACTTCACGACAGTAAATTTTCTAAATGTTTTTTTTCTTTGTTTTTTTTTTTTAATATGTTATATACCTGCCGAAAAACAATTCTTCATCAACATTTCAAAAGGGCGAAACTGCTTTTGTAAACAACGCCTTTAACCGTTGATTTGTCGCTAAAAAAGCTCGCTCATACAAATTAACTATACCATCAAGAAGAAGAATGTTCATCTACCAGCTGCAGGAGTGCAATTTTAGTTGCGATAAATTGTCATTTGAAGCCATGATTTTTTTTCCCTAAAGTAATATTTTTTTTTTAATTTTTTTTTTTATATATTATTTTAAGGAGCCTTTCAGCCCTGGTTCAATTCGTTTATTTGATAGGCTCAAATATGATGATGGTCCCACCTTTTACCCCTACAAAGGTTTTCAAATTTCTCAGCAAAGGTGTCTTCAACTAACTTTCAGATCTTTAGAAGGCGCACATTTTTGCTGTACAAAGCTTGTCAATATCTTTCGCCGATCAAGAGTTATTGACGTTTTTCTACTAAAAATATTCCCTATTCAAATGTTAATATCTCTGGTTGAGGCAAACAAAAAAAAAGTTTGGCATTTGAAAGGGCGTATGTTCTAGAGACTTTTAAGCTCTTCGATGAACGCAGAATTGAGCAAAACAGACAGCTGAGCGTAACATGAATGATTCTGAGTGTAGTAGTGTGGATCATTCCTCTCTTATTATTGTTTCTTTGCTGAACCTTTTACGATTGCATTCTGCTTAGTGAGATGAATGAGAATTTTGCAGAAATAATCACTTTTTATTTTCTAGCTTTAAACATACATTGAAACATTTGAATTGCTATTAATACGGAGGAAAAGGTTATACTGTAACAGATAAATATAAGCGTCAAGCAAATACCATAAAACTGCTGTTGCCAATTCAAATGATTTAAATAAGTGAGCCAAAAACTATCTGACTCGGCTATTTAAATCGTTAGCATTCGGATTCTACGCATTCAATCTGGTTTTCCCTCAGTAGAGAAAATTATTCGGCTGCCTTTCAGTTTATTCTTCTTTCGTTCTATTGCTGTCAGTTCTGAGTCGACCTGCAGAGCAGAGATGCCAGATCTACGGAAATCTCCGTAGATCTACGGATTTGACAATTTTTTGCGGAAATACGGATCCGTAGGCAAAATCTACGGAATTCGATACAGTTTCTACGGAATTTTTTATTCAGTGTACGTCAGTTTACTAGTTTCTTCCCTTCAGAATCCAATTTTACGATCTAGAGTATAATCTGATTCTGAAGGGAAAGAAGCATAAAGTAAAATACACCCCTGCAACTTGTCAACCGTTTTCTTGCTCGCTTTCCAACGCAACGAAAATAGAATCGTGCTACAAGACCCAATTACCGAGCTGTACCTGGAGTTGCTTAATTTAATTCTGCCGATTGTCGATAAAATTAACAAGATTTTTCAAGCAGAAAAGCCAGAAATAATATCCATGCACACTACTCTGACACGAAAAGTAAATCAAATCTTGGGCTATTTCGTAAAACCTCAAGTTTTACTCGCTGCTTCTAATCCGAAAGAGCTTAGATTTGAAAACAGCGATTTCAAACCATTGGGTGAAATATACTTTGACGTAAAGTATCAGTCCTCAGCAGCTCCGTAAAATACGACAGGAAAAGAATTACAGAATTTCAAAACCGGCGTTTATGCTTAAATCTGGAGCTGGTTAAGGAAATGCTTAAACGATTGCAATTGGATATTGGTATTCAGAAATCTAACCCTATTGGAGCCGAAAAAACTGAAGCAATCCACTAGTTTGGGTCATCTACTCGGTCATTTCAACAACGTAATTGACAAAGAAGACTGGCAGCAAGTCGATAATGAGTTCAGTGAGCTGCAAGTTTTCGACTTTAAAGACATCGGTGCTACGGATGAAGACAACCCAAGTAACAATTTTGGTTTTATGAGAATTCTGAAGACCATGATTTAGACTTGTAGCATGCTTTAAAACATCGATAAAACTTGTAATGTTACTTGGGAATGCTGACGATTTTTAGACAAAGATTCTTGAGCTGCGGAAAAACGATGAACATTTCTTCTTTCCATTTTTTGGCGGCTACTGAAGGCGATTCTTGCATTACCGCATTCTTTCGTGGCGGCTGAACGAATATTTTCAGCCCAAAACCTCAACAAGACTTCCTTCAGACAGATTATCAAACGAAACGCTGGTTGGAATATTAAGAACAAAAGATTGGCTGAAAACACTTGGAACTTCTAGCTCAGTTTAATCCCAGTAAACATGCGAAGCAAGTTCAACTCTGCAATGTATGTCACTAAATCACAGACAAACGAAGAAGAGGAAGAAGATTTCAGTTATGTTCTACAAATTTTAAACAAAGTTTAATTTGTTATTGTTTGATATGATAAGTTATCCTAAAATCATTTTAAAACACCTAAATGTAACAAAAATGATAAAATACACAAATATATCTCAAACAAACTGTCTGTTTCACCAAGTATTTTATATTTCTTAAATGAAGCAATGAAATTGGGTTGTTATCGGAATGATTTAAATAAAACAGGAAAAAAGGTTATCTTTCATTTAATTCTACTCAATTAATTTTGGTATCCATAACATTTTTATACCTGTGATCTTAACATTTTCACCTAGGGGATGAGAACTTAAGGGGGTTAGGTTTTGATAAGTTTTTTAATGAAATTGACACTGATGAAGACTGCACATTGTAGTCGAAATACGTATCTGTCATGGATACCAAAATTAATTAAGTGGAATTTAATGGATAATATCCTTTTCTGTTGTTTAATATTTCTTAAAAAAAGTATACATAGCACTTGTAAAACCAACTTTTGATAGTTGAAGATTCCAATTTCATTTCAACTTTTGATGTTAGACCCGGAGGGCAGAGTGTCTTATACCAATCTACTACGCTCAACGAGATCTACATATGCGTATGTTAGTGTGCACGTGTTAGTAAGAGTGGTTCCGAAAAATCGAAATTTGAAACCATTTTTTCAAAAGTTCTATCATCGATTTATCATTTAACGTAAAATATCACCTATCAGAAGTTCAAAAAAAAAACCGTAGAAATCCGTAGATTTGAATAAGTCTACGGAATTGCAAAGAAAAAAAATCTGGCATCTCTGCTGCAGAGTCACTTGGTTGGAATAATTTACACTCGTTCGGCAATCTGTTTGTAGGTGATGATGGCTATTTTGATTCTGTGGTGCTCGCGCGAGTGAATGAATTTTCCCATCTTTGGGGGTATATGAACAAATTAGGGTTTCGCAATTAAGGCCATCGTTCGGATATTTTGAGCCGTTTGTCTGTGATTTGGGTGGTTTTTCAGGAAACGTCCCGAAAATCCGGTGAAGGAAAGCGAATATCGGGAAACAAATTCCGTCCGATTGTAGCCAAGGATTTTGTTTTTCTAGTGTGTAAAATTTGGGTGGAAAAGTGCATTCAACTTCAAGTGGTGTGCTTTTTCCGGGAAAGTGGCATTTCCACCCAAAGAGAATATGCACGTGGGGTGTTTGATACTACTGGCTATTTCTCCCGTCAGTGTATATGTGAGCGCAAGGAAATGCAATCTTGCGCCTATGTTTTCCCGGGAATTTCCCAAGAAAGTATATCATATTTTTATACCAAGACATTCTGCAGACTATGCACAACATGATGGTATCCATAAACATATGATTTTCGAAAATTTGTAGCATGGTTTTTCAATTTCCAAACCATGCGCCAAACATTCTCGCTGTAAAATCGTCACGGACATAGTAAAGAAGCAATCAGCAATTACGCATTTGTTTTACAACGTTGCCACATTTTCTTGTTCCTTTGCTACCGGATCACATGTTCGTAGGTTCACGTGTCCTTTTTCGCTAGTTCGCTCATCATATCACATTGATCAGGAATTCTTCCGAAATGTCAAAAATTATATTGAAGACCTACGACGGATCGGAAATTGAAATTGAGATCTCCATATATTCTTTCATCATATCAAACTGAACAGGAGCTCTTCAAAATCTTATCTTATCTATCGAAGACCTACGACTTATCGGGAATTGAAATCGAATCCTGCATATTCCCTCATCACATCAAATTGATCATTAATTCTTCCGAATAATCAGAAATTATATATAAAACTTATGAATAATCGGAAATTGAAAATGAGTTCTCCATATATTCCATCAACACATCAAATTGATCAGAAATCCTTCTGGAGACATTCGGGCAGTTAGAATATATTTCAAAATACAAGGATGGTCAGAAATTCTTCCAAACTATCAGAAGTTATATGGAAACCCTATGACTGATTGGAAATTGAAATCGATTTCACCATAATGTGTACCCTATGTACCCAATCAAAGTGTTCAGAAATTATTCCGGATTATCAGAAATTATATTGAAGGTCTTCGACTAATAGAACAATTGCAACCGAGTTTCCATATATATCTCAATCAAATCAGGTTGATCAGGAATTCTTTCGAATTATCAGAAATTATTTAAAAAAAAAACTATTCCTGACCAGAAATTGAAATCGAGTTCTCCTTATTCCATGACCATATCAAATTGACCAGGAATTCTTCCGAATTATCATACATTATATCAAAGGCCTACGACTGATCGTAAATCCAAATCGAGTTTTCCATATATTCCTTCATCATATCAAAGTGGTCAGGA